GTAGATTAAATTAATACAATTTTGTGGATTTTAATATTTTCCATAAGCTTATTAATAAAATTATGGAAAATATTAAAATCCACAAAATTATATTAATTAAATCTATCTTTATGCTCTAAGCAAACTGATTCTATGCATAAAAATACATCATATCAGCATACGTTTACTTTATAATTTAAATTTTAAGAGAAAAGATGCTTAATTTTGAAATTTTGATCAAAATTTCAAAATTAAGCATCTTTTCTCTTGAAATTTAAAACTATAAGGTAAACGTATGCCAATATAATGTAATTTTATACGTAGAACCAGTTTACTTAGAGCATAAAGGTAGATTTAATTAATATAATTTTATGGATTTTAATATTTTCCATAATTTTATTAATAAACGTATGGAAAATATTAAAATCCACAAAATTGTATTAATTTAATCTACTTTAATGCTCTAAGTAAACTGGTTCTATGCATAAAATTACATCATATCGCATACGTTTACCTTATAATTTTAAATTTTAAGAGAAAAGATGCTTAATTTTGAAATTTTGATCAAAATTTCAAAATTAAGCATCTTTTCTCTTAAAATTTAAAACTATAAGGTAAACGTATGCCGATATGATGTAATTTTATGAGTAGAACACGTTTACGTAGAGTATAAAGGTAGATTTAATTAATACAATTTTATGGATTTTAATATTTTCCATAATTTTATTAATAAAATTATAGAAATATTGTGATTTTTAAACCTTTACATAGTAAATCTCTTTTAGCTTCTATGTAGGCTTGTAGAGTATTGTCTTGCGATCAAAATGGTGGTTAAAACGTTCAAATCGGCCCAGTAGGTCGCGAGATATAAGTATTTTAGTCTTTATGACTATATGCTTTCTTCTTTATTTATATAAAGAAGAAAACATAATTGCGAAGACAAAGTTCTAGTTAAAAAATTTCAAATTCGAAAATTTTACTATATTTTGTCATTGAACTTTGAACATGTTCATGAACTTTGAACTGAACCTGAACTGAACATGAACTTGACTTAAAAGTTCAATACTGAACTGAACTGAACATGAACCTCACTTGAAGGTTCAATATTGAACATGATTGAACTGAACCTGAACCTGAACTTGACCAAAGTTCGGTTTCAGTTCGGTTCATAGGAACACTAGCACCTTACAACAATCAAACAAAATTATAATTGCAAATGCAAGACCCTAACTTTAAACCTGATCTAACTATAATTACCTAACCCTAACCAAACAGCCACATATACATATTTCTTATCCTAGCCAAAATTCATTACAAATATCAGTTTTTCTACTATCTAATAATTCTCTTTGTCAGCTAGATTGGATTTATACTTTGAACATCCACGAATATTATAGTCTTTACCCGAACAGTAACTGCAGATTTTAGAAGATGAAGTATGATGTTTATTATATTCTTCAACAAATAACTTGAGCCATTTAAGAGGTCATTCTCTTGGCTTATAATATTCTGGATTGGATATCTCAATATCATTCAAAGGTTTTCATGTTATTTGAGTGGTTGTGGGAAGTGCCAGTAATAAGCTGAAAGCAAGTTCTACAACTTCAGAAGCCATATTCAGAGGTGATGTTTCTTGTTCTACAACTTTAGTTGAAAACATACTTGGAGGTAAGGATATTTATTTTCTTTATGTCTAGCCCAGTATCACAATGATATTTTATAATAAATTGTACTAATACTCTAGTTAATTCTTCAGTAACACCCTCAGAGACCACAACTTGGACACTAGTTTTGGCCATAGACATCATTGCACCAAATTTAACTTTCTTGTTAACATGCTCCCTAATAGTTGGTGTATAAACATCACCAATTCTTAATTGATTAATGTAATATAATAGTTTAGTCATAGTACTTTCTATACCTTGAGAGATTGTAATAAAATTCATGGTATCAGATGAAAATGAAACAAGCCAATGGATATGAAAAAGCGATATATGAAATATTGCATTGCTTGAATGAATAAAAACCTAATCTTGATGTCAACATAACATTCCTTGATTTACAATTTGCATACAAGTACAAAGCAACATTGAGTCATTAAGAATAGTGACATAATGTGGTGCTAAAGCTAATGTAATATATGATACTTCCCAAAGCTCTTTAAGTGCATTAGAAGGTATATCAGTCATAAGTTCTAATTAATGAATTTGAGGTATATTATATAATCGTTCAATTATATCACTATTATTAATATCACATTCCTTAACCTGGTCAGTTAAAACTAGAGTTGCTTGATATAATAAAGCTTGATTCATTTAAGCCCTTTGTAGAAATAATAAAATAGGTGCCAACTTAGCCTCTAACACAGAATCAATTCCTTTAAATATGGTATTATAAATAGACACAAGACCAACAAATGGATTAGACCCATAATAATTTGCAATCTGAGTATATTGTGCTTCTATTTCTAACTCTTGATCAATAGCATTTATCAATTCCTTTAATAAAGTGCCACAGTCAACATGCTTTTTAATAACCCTAATGATAGATTCGACATGCTGAGTGGATTCTATCCCTGCTGTAAATACCTTAACTACTGAATATCTTGCCCACAATGTATGATTATTATAAAGCTTTTTGAGATATGAATAACATAATTCGTATTTTATCAACATATTATAGTACTTTAGCTTAAATTGCTCTTTGCTACAGCTGTTTCGTATACAATAAAAATTATTAACAAACTGTTTTATCACATCATCTTTGAGCTTGGCTTTTGCTTTCTTTTTGATATTTTCAAGAAGATGATAAATATATAACATATAACATGTCTGCGGATAAGACATATAAACTACAGTATAGAGGTTAGAACCGGTTTTAAAAATTCGAGTTTATCATATAAAAATTTGAGTTTTCACACCAAAATTCGAGTTTATTACTTCAATCATTAATGATTGAAGTGATAAACTCGAATTTTGGTGTGATAAACTCGAATTTTTATGTGATAAACTCAAATTTTTAAAACTGGTTCCAACCTCTACTACAGTATTCATTGCTATATCACCATCAGTAAACAACATCTTGGGCTGAAGATAATTAGTTGCTTTCAACGTATATTGTAAAATCCAATTGTAATCAGCCTGAGTCTCATACTTAATCAAAGCTTGGACAATAACTCTTGTTTTAAAATTGTTATTAATGCCAACAAACAAACAAAGAGCCATCTCATATCTGTTAGTCTTTGTCATATTATCATGAATCACATCATTATGGAATCTTGTCCAAAGATTATTGTGTTGTTGACTGGTTATCCAGAAAAGATTTGTAAGTTCATTAGACGATTCTTCAAGCTATGGTATAACTATATAATCAGGATTCATTGTGCTTGCATCAGATTCATCATGGATTTATACACCTCTAAACTTCTGGATCGCATTATACAAGTTCTTTTTTTTTATATGATGTTGAGAAAATTCTTTAACAAGGAGATCGTACTGCTAACCAGCACCTAAATGACTATTTGTAGTATAATGCTCAATCTTATCCAGGATTTCCTGTGAAGGATGTAGATTTTTTGGCACCAATTCAATAGTTGCTACATCACAGCTATGATTATGCTTATTGTTAAGTTTAGTAAGCTGTACTTTTTTTTCATACTTTCCAAGATAAAAACCAACTCCCCATTTGCAATTTGTTTTACTTAAACTACTATCATAGTGCAAATTTATATCTTCGACCTTTTTTGGTTGATAAGTTTCTGCTTTCTAGCAATTGTAGATACATCGATGAACAATAGACTTATCAACAGAATCAAGATCTTTACAGTTTTTATTGTCTACAAAACTATTTTGCTTGGCAAACGATTCAACAACAGCTTGAACATGCTCCCAGTTATTAAATAAATTCCCAACTTTCAATACCATTTTATTAACATCTACATCATGGTTATTAGTATTATTTCTTTTTGTATCATTATCACCAAAGCCTGGTAAGTAGTTCTCCACATCATCTTCATAATCTGATAGATATTTCATTAAGCTTGTAACTAAGTGGAGAGAAAACAAGGCTGTTAGTTAGTATAGTTTTGCAAAAGAATTAAATACTTGAGAGCACAAAGAAAGGTATAATTAAAGAGAAATGAAATACAGTATTACCAAAGCCTGGTAAGTAGTTCTCCACGTTATCTTCATAATCTAATAAATATTCCATTAGCCTTGTAACTAAGTGGAGAGAAACATGGTTAGTATAGTTTTGCAAAAGAATTGAGCATGCAAGAAAATCAACAATTATGGTTGAAATGAAAATTACACAAAAAAAGGTATAACTAAAGAGAAGTGAAAAGGAAGCACAATATACTCGGATTGCAGATTATTATGGGTCCAATCCATCTGTTGGTCTTGTGTCTATTTATAATACCATATTTAAAAGAATTGATTTTGTGTTAGAGGCTAAGTTGGCACCTATTCTATTATCTCTACAAAGAGCTCAAATGAATCAAGCTTTATTATATCAAGCAACTCTAGTTTCAATTGACCAGGTTAAGGAATATAATATTAATAATAGTGATATAATTGAACGATTATATGATACACCTCAAATTCGTTTATTGGAACTTATGACTGATATACCTTCTAATGCACTTAAAAAGCTTTGAGAAATATCATATATCGCATCAGCTTCAGCACTACATTATGTCGCTATTCTTAATGACTCAATGTTGCTTTGTACTTGTATACAAATTGTAAATCAAGGAATGTTATGTCGACATCAATATCAGATTTTTATTCATTCAAGCAATGCAATATTTCATATATTGCTTTTTCATACCCGTTGGTTTGATTCATTTTCATCTGATACCATAAATTTTATAACAATCTTTCAAGGTGTAGAAAGTACTATGACTAAACCATTACATTACATTAATCAATTAAGAATTGGTGATGTTTATACACCAACTATTAGGGAGCATGTTAACAAGAAAGTTCAATTTGGTGCAATGATGTCTGTGGCCAAAACTAGTGTCCAAGTTGCGGTCTTTGAGGGTGTTACTGAAGAATTAACTGGAGTATTAGTACAATTCATTATGAAATATCATCATGATACTAGGCTAGGCATAAAGAAAATATCCTTACCTCCAAGTATGTTTTTCACTAAAGTTGTAGAACAAGAAACATCACCTCTGAATATAGCTTCTGAAGTTGTAGAACTTGCTTCCAACTTATCACCGGCACTTCTCACAACCACTCAAATAACACGACAATCTTTGAATAATATTGAGGTGTCCAATCCAGAATATCATAAGCCGAGAAAATGACCCCCTAAACGGCTCAAGTCATCTGTTGAAGAATATAATAAATATCATACTTCATCTTCTAAAACCTGCAGTTACTGTTCGGGTAAAGACCATAATATTCGTGGATATTCAAAGTATAAATCCGATCTAGCTAACAAAGAGAATCATTAGGTAGTAGAGAAACTAGTATTTGTAATGAATTTTGGCTAGGGTAAGAATTATGTGTATATGGCTGTTTGGTTAGGGTTAGGTATTTATAATTAGGTCGGGTTTAAAGTTAGGGTCATGCATTTGCAGTTATAATTTTGTTTGATTGTTGTTAGGTGCTGAAAGTTTATTTTGTTATCGCTATTGATTGCTTATTATTGATTGCTTATTATTGATTACGTATTGACAAGCTAAAATCTTATTTATTCATCATCATTATATTTGCTTGCCAAATTTAATTTTTGTATTGCTATATATTTGGCAGGCAAACTATTTGCGAACGATCTCCTGATGCCCACTTTCAAATAATCATTTTATCAGCAATTTTGGCAAAATATAAGGTAAGATATATGAAAGATTTTGTTGATAAAATGATTTTCAAAGTTGCTTCGGGATCTATGTTTTTGTTTAGTGCATGTTATACTAATGATTTTGATCAACGTAATTACTTCGTAGCAAGTATGTAGTTATTAATTATTAGTTCAAATCAACCAGTCGGGTTTTTTTAGTTGAATAGCCGATTTGATATAATTAAAGGGCTTGATTTCAAATATGTATCGTGCTTTTAGATGTGTATCTCGCACGAAATGCTGATGTCATTTAATTGATTCTCATATGGGATACTATAAATAATTTATTATAATATTAGCATTTCGTGTGAAATGTATATGCTTATTCTAATAAATATTATTTAACTATATAGTTGATGATTATTTGACTAACTAAAGTTGTTCGATTCTTATATTTCATGATCACTTGAAAAATAGTTTGTATTACTGGTGATGATCACTACCGGTAGTAAATAGCAAAATTCTTTATAATTTCTAGAATTTATTATATTTAATTTTTTTAATAAAAAAATTCTTTACAATGTCATGTTTGAAAATATTTATTAATAGGTCCCTGAATACTACAAACATTATTGCCAAGTAATATGCAAATAATATTTGCAATATTGCAAATAATACTAAAAAATATTAAAAATAAAATATTTTAAATAATTCGAAATTATGTAAAGTAAATTAGAAAATTTAAATTTATTTAAGATCTTTGAAGTTTCATTATAATTTAAAATATAATTTTTAAAATTCTTTAAGATATTATGTTTATAAATATTTATTAATAGGTCTCTGGATGCTGCAGATATTATTGCCAAGCTATAAGCAAAATGTATCGCAATATTGCAAATAATTCTAAAAACCTATATTTTGACATAAAAAATCAAAAATATTTTAAATGGTTCAAAATTATGTAAAAAATTTAGAAATTTTAAAGTTCTTGAGAAAATTCAATATAACTTAGTCATTCTAAAGATATAATTTTTATATATTTGAAATATTCGAGT